ACTTAGCTACTTTAAGTTAAGGTAAAATGTTAACTTACAATATTATTTTAGTGGATTTTATCTTTGTCACATGGAGACCTTAAATGGAATATGTTTGATTCCCCCGTCACCAAATGCAGGTAGGGGGGGGGTTGGATGGTCGATTGGTTTGCATGTACGCACTGTATCATAAGGCCTGTCATTGAGTCAACTGGCGTGGTTTCGAATCCCCAGTTGTACGTGACAAGGAGAAGGATCGCCTCATGGGTTTTCTCTGGGTCCTGGGCGCAAGCGAATTATTGAAATAAAATTAAACCATATATCAGTCCCGAATTCTCTCTCTCTCTCCAAATGCTGGTTGAAAGCAGGCCTATAGCAACACAGACTGGGGCTTGTCAAAAATAGGAAAGTCATCTTGAAAATCTTTGTCAACAAACCAATTAGAAGAGAAAAATATATCCTAGAAATGTGTTAAAACTTTCTTAAAATATTTCTTTACAATTGCACAGGGGCAGGGGCTTGTCAATCCTCCAATACGCCAATCAAATTCTTTCAAAAAACGTTGAAGACTAAGAGGTTCTGGGTGACTGAGACTAAGTACATGTAGATTGGAGCCCTTTAGTTTCACCTTGCAAAGCCATTTTATCTATTTATGCCCATAATCTTTAAAATAACATAACATTATACTATTATGACTAATTAACCATACCCAGCCCAATGCAGCGACATAACTTTTGCATGACTGAAAAATCTATGGGTTTAATTAACCAAGTGGACTTTTTCCCTACCATAATTTTATTGGCCACTGAAGTTCATTAGTGTGCACTCAAAAAAGCACTGACACACACACACCTCATACAAGCAGAGCTTATTCTGTTTATTCGTCAATGCCATATTTTGTCCTACCATTGTGACGTTTTGATGTGGAAATAAAAATGTCTGGCTGCAATTTAAAAGAGATGATTTAACCCTATGTCAAGTAGAATTATAGATAGATATTCATTGTATAAAACACCCTTTTTGGCCAATGGGCATCATGTAAATTATACATAATATTAATAACATGACATTAGGTATGAAAATACATAAAAAGTGGATGATATAGGCCTATACATGACGAAAATTCTTATGTTTGCGGCCGTCCAATTTCCATAATTTTCCGGGGAGGACCCCGATACCCCGTTTTGTCCCCCTCTGCAGCACGCAAGCTTATAGGCAGCAGCGAGGTAGGCAAGATAAAGTTACGGTACACAGTCGTTAATAGAGTCTCTTCCAACTCAGTCTGTCAAAGCTATTCATGTTTATTGCTGAATCAAACATGACCCAGTGCCCTTATTGTGCACACTAGTTGCCCGCAGATGGCCAATCTTTTACGTGCATGCCAATGTAGGCTATATACGGGACCTCAATTTTGCGTCCCCTCCAAAAAACTTGACAGTTGTCCTTGTCAGCCCCCCCCCCACACACACACACACTGCACTACAAACAAGAGGGAACTAAGTCGGAAAACATGTAAGAATAGTCCATTAATATAGAGCAAAGCTCTAAAGCATCGGATACACTGGAAGTGGATACACTGGGCAAAACTGGCAATGCGCATTCCAACTTTATGCGTCTCATAGATCCATTTCTATGACGCGTTTTTATTCAATTCTCACACTTTTTCGCTCTTTTTTTTCTAAACAAAGTAAATCATACAATTTGGATCTAAATTAAAATAAATGTGGAAAAACAAATTTATTTAACATTATTTGTATCATATGAGAAACTTAATTATAAAGGTTTTATATTTGACAACATCAGCTTCGCTCTACTCAGTCTCAGGCAATGCCTGTTCCATATTAAAGGAGCTAAATCGCTAACATTTGGGACCTAGAAATTCACAAAAGTGGGTCGCAACGCATATAATACTGTAATATGAATGTATAAACTGATTTACATTTAATGGTTTCCGTTTTTACTCCAATTTCAAATCAGTTATGTTCGGCGAAATAAGTCAGCGATCTCAATCGAGTGCAAATTTCTAGCGTCTAGTTATTCTAGTCTACAGAACTCCATTTGATTTGGTGCAATGTGTCTAGCCTCGTTCCTCGAGTCTCTCAATACAACTGGGGCTGAAGCGCATTATAAAAAAAAATTATTTTATCTTAAATATTGGATATCAGAAGCTCATCTTTTCCTGTAAGTTTACATCATCAATGTTGATTTAAATTGACCAATAATTCGTGTTTTCGATGTCGAAGATTTTGGAGGATTTTGAGTTACGGACTTAGGTCCTTTAATATCATGATGATGATTATCATGCTTACGACTCGTAGGGCAGGATGGTAGAAAGGCTTCCACAGCCTAATCCTTTACGCTTCTTAAATAAAGATATTATTATTATTATCATTATTAAGAATAGCCACGGCGTTGTTTTTATATAGCCTAGAATTTAGCAGAATTAGAAAGAGACTTGAGTTGTCAGTTGAACCGTAGTAGACTAGAGTTACCACACTGACTGTAATGACACGATATTATTGAACCATTGGAATGTGGGCTAATTCTCATATTAGAAAATGTTATATTTAACTGTCTGCTACTTACTTTAAGCTCCCTACATCCACAGATACCAAATTCTTCTATTTATTAAATACAATTAGACCTTGACGTCAAAATGGGAATTATTGATCGTCATGATTCAAGGGAAATAACTATTGTTTTATCATTTGTAGTCGAGGTTGTCCAGAAAACAACCGAGGCTATAAGGGTCAACAACGCTTGAAATCGACCCTTTACACCGCATTGTGTGCACAGATGGGGTGTCAAATAACAAGATGACATTATAATGATGTAAAATATATAAATATATAGATTGTCTGTATTCATGATTTAAATAACACATAAAACGAACACACGTAACCTATTAGTAAGTGCAGGATTACCGCACTAAACGCAAAACAAAAATCTGCAAGATAAACCTGCGGACAAGACAGAATGAGAATATAGACATTGCAAAAAATAAATAAATATCAAATCAAGTGAATGGATCCGGGAGAGGTAGGTGGGGGGGGGGGCAGTCGTGAGCGTACACTGCGTTGTACAGTTCCGGGGCTGATATGGTACATAGGCTTCACTCAAAATGAAAACAAATAAATGATTTACAAAAAAGACGTAACAGAAATAATGCATGGACACGCAAGCTAACTTTATATTTTATTGGTTTCATTGCCGTTTTATTCAGCACCAGAATTACAAAATATTTGGTTCCTTAAGAGGACCCCGGGGTGTACCGAAGGCGAAAATATGAGTTGCCAATGGGAAATAAAAAATAAACAATTTTTTAGAGCAAAATTGCGCCCAAACTTAAAAATTGTTTCGTGGGTTTCTGTTACCTAGACCCCGAAAGGATGCTTACTGATAGGCCTACATGTAGTCATGTAGCTAAGAACAGAACGAGCTGCAAACAATTTTAACAACAAAACCTATTCACAATCTTATTGACTATAGAATGATAAATATTTGGTTCCTTTTAGGCAGTTCTTCAAAGGCGAAATATGTCTTGTCATTGGAAACAGAATTTAAGCAAAGTTTAGAGCAAGGTTTAGGATTTTGTAGACGATTTTGCGGAAAAATTGATGTCTGGCAGATCTCCTTCCGATATTCGCGCATATCGGATGGTATATTCATGGATTATGGCCCTTGATTATAAACGAAAAATCGCACGTTTTTAGCTTGTGGACACTCTAAAAGTCACAATATTTGTACCCGATTTTGTTGAAACCTAAAATATAATAAATGTTTATATCCCAAAAATCTTGGTCCCTTTTGATGTCGCATTTTAGCTTGTTCTCTGTCCATCTCTTGCAAAATGTATCCGTATCTTGCATGACAACCGCTTGTTCAAAATCAAATTAAAGTTGTGGCATGTCTGAAGAGGGCCCACAAGCTAAAAACGCGATTTTTCGTACAATCAGGGGCTATAATCCAGGAAGTTACGATCCGATATGCGCCAATATCGAAAGGAAACGATATCTTTGGGTTATAAACATACAGTATATTACAAGCTAAAACATGATTTGTCGTACAATTAGGAGCCATGATCCGCGAAGGTACTGTCCAATACATGGCAATATCGACAGGAACCGAGATCTTTGGGATATAAACTTATATTTCGTCAAAATCGGATAAAAGTTATAGTGACATGTAGAGTGTCCACAAACAAAATGTGACCAGACTTACGGACGGATGGACAGGGTTGACGACAACATACGTTCACATGAAAATCCCACTTTAAAATGTAAATTCTGTTATTAATCGCGACAGGCCCGTAGCCAGCTTGCTAGCTTCGGAGGGGCAGTGGAGTTTTTAGTGGGGGGGGGGGGGGCACACCTGGCACAGTCTACAGTAGCTATATTTTAGAGCTATGGTCGGCAATTTTTTTTTCGGGGGGGCAAAACATTTTTTCGAGGGGCCTGAATCGCGGACATTCACAAACCATATATAGCCTACTCCGCCAATGGCCAATGTCACACTGAATTGCATAATATGGTGTTTGTCCGTTTTACTACAACCACAGTATTGGATGGCACAAAGGCTTTCCTGTGGGCAGATTTTATAATCAATTGATTATGTAACCAGATTAATGGACGGGCAGACTTATCCACCTTTCCAGGACCGTTGAACCAAAAGAGACAGATAACAGGAAAAACCACGAAACAGTTTATTTACAGAAACACACAATAAACGATATTATACTTGACCAAAAAACAAAGACCATGGCAAAGTCGAATGAAATGTGCTATCTGTGGCATAAAAACAGCGTGTGATATAATATGCAGTTTAGTTTGGTTGGTGCCTGGGCATTATTTGGTATAGTAAAGTAGTGGGGCAAAGTGTTTGAAGTAAATTAGAGCCAGACAACATACTCCGATATTCATGGAAGAAAATCTATATCAACATTGTTGCCAAGGCACTCCGTATATTTGTTTTACATGGCAGCAGCCAACAATATAATATATTTACGTTTTGATTTTCTTCAGATGAATCCTGGATTCAGAATATATATATAAATTTACCAGCAGTGAAACGAAGGGCAGAAACGTAAGGTACAGTCAAAAAACAATGGCAGGTTTGTAACTTTTTATAAATTACATGCCCAATCTTATTACTGTTATGATGATAATGCTGATTTGAGAATATGTATGGTATATAATATAATTCTCTTCAAACTATCACTCAATTATAAGAAAAGATTGTATTGAAAGGAGAGAGAGAAATGGGGTTTAATGTCCATTCGACACAATCTGGGACATTTCGGGGACTAACATCTGGTTCAATTTCATTTTAATAATTCGCTAGCGCGTAGGGGTCTTTAGCAATTGGCGGGGGGGGGGAGGACCCGGAGAAAACCCACCAGGCTGGACAGGCGACGCTACTCCTTGTTACGTACAACCTGGGAATCCAGTTAACTCAATGAGAGACCGTATGATACAGGCACACATGCTAACCTTTCGGCCACCCAACTCTACTGTATTGAAAGAACATTGCTTTTTAGTCAAGATAGTTGGATAAAACAAACCCATTATAAACATACTGAAAACAAATAATCATAAAAATAATGCAAAACCAATAAAAACGTTTGACTTTTGTACTTTGTATACACGCTTCAACATTCCGATTTCAAAGATAATTTAAATTGGTTTATCGATAAAGCCTTTCATTGTGCATTTGAAAAGGGCAGAAACTTGATTACCATTTACTCAAAAGAGGTCAAGCGGATTATAAAAATTCTGAATGCTTATACTGTTACTTTCAACAAAATTATACTCCAAATACATCTTCATATTAACAACGCCTCCTTTGAGATTGGGGATCAGGTCTGCTGGTAAATATTTTATGTTCCCGAGGTAACCCAAACCCCAGTAGCTTTATAGTTACGTGATATGTACAAATAATCAATATATACGGCTGGGAGGCAGTTTCAGGGTACAAAACTGCTACAATACCCCCAAGGGCACGGGGGTTATCGGTGATATGGGAGATATTCTTCGTTTATGTGCCTGTGATGTTTTAAATTCCTCGGATATTTCATCAATCTCAACCCAATAGTGTTCTGTCAAACTTACTGATATTTGTATATGTATATCAAATAATGTTGAATAGTGATCATTTTTTTACAAGTTCTTTAACTAATAAAACATATTTAACACGTGGATTTGAGAAGTTAAATTGTAAAACCTCCAATGTTATCTACGGTAAAGACCACACTTTGCGGACTGGTTTATGTTAGCGAAACAAAAGGACAATATATAACATATGCGCATTAATGGTCATCGTCACAATATGAATAATGGTAGAAACCAAATTCTTTAGCAACAATTTTAACCAATCGGGTCACTATCAATAAGAGTGTCTATATTAGAGAACATTTACCACCGTACCAATTACCAACAACCCTACTTTGAGTACTCCTTTTCGCAATAGCCGAGAGGAACATTAATTGGATACGTACATTAGGTACTGCCACCCCTTATGGATGCAATGACATTGTAGCTGGGATTGGTAATTTATCTAGCCCGGCGTGTAGCCCGGTATTCCCCAAGTTTTCTCCTAGAAAACGCAGTCCAATAATTGACGCGTATATACTATTATCCTGATGATGTCTACGACATTCTGTTGCTACTATTCATCATGTACATCATGCACAAGGACAGTCCATTTGCTGATTAGGCTATTTAACCGAGATTTCGCCTAAATGGTTTGGTTGCAACGGACGCCTGTTACCACTCTGGTCTAATTAGTGGTCTAATTTGTGCGCTTTAGGGGGATCACGTGGCTAAGTGGGTAAGACGCTGGCTCGCTCGCCTGGAGGTCGGGTGTTCGATCCCTGCATTGGCCGAGAAAGTTTATCCAGATTTTCCGGCGTGGTTCCCCTTGTCAGTGATGCAGGACAGAGAGCCTGACAAGGACAGCTGTCTAGTCCTTCGGTGAGACAAAAAACCGAGGTCCCGTGTATATATTGGAATGCACGTAAAAGATCCCCTGGCAGTTGGAATTCGTTAAAAGAGTAGGCATTACAAAGCCTATTCCGATATCACAGCTGAAATAAAAACAGAACAAAGCAATAGGCTAGGGTGTTTTGAAAATTAAAGATTGTCGATCCATTAATGTTTCGAGCCTTTAAATCAATAAATCCCTGAACATTATCCGCGGAAGCTGTAAGTAACCTAAGTATAATCTAATTAGATAGCAACAATTAAGACTCTATGTGAAGGATATTAGTTACATCGCGGAAATACAAACAATTAAAAAAACATACAAATCTTAAAAGTTAAAAATGAAAAGCAAATGTCTCCATATTTTGTGATTTTTTACACTGTAACATGTTGTACATTTCGGTTTGACATTCAGGTGTCAACCACAAGAGGCTGTAAATCTCAATGTAGTAAGTGCAGAAAGGGTGTTATTCAGTTTGTAATGGAAATCTACAAACGTTCGTTCGCATATTTAGTATCAATTAACTTGTGTGAAATGCATATTGGGAAGTGCATTTAAGTCAAATGTTTCGTACACAAACTAACTTCACATATCCCTGAAGCTGCTTTTATATTTCCCAAACTGTTCATTGATTTAACAATTGATTCCAACTGATTCCAATTGAAATCTGGCAAAGAAAGATATAACCACCCCATGTTTAGCTTTTATTTATCAATCAATATTTTAATGCAAAAATTCACAATACCGCAACTCTCAAAACAATATTATCGCTTAAATAAAGGCAATATGCAAGAGCTAAATTTGCCTATTGTCGGTCTTTCTTTAGGTCGTAAATGTTATATAATTTATTAATTAGACATTTATTAACTTTCCAAAACCATAATCAACTCTCGATGCCATCAGATGGCCCCGTTTTAATTAGATTAGAACGGTTCAGCCATTTCATGATTTAAATCAAAAATGTAGAAGCGAGGCTCTTACATGAAAGACCAGTGCGTTGGTTACGATCAACGCACACATTTTGTCAAAACTACAACCATCATTTGAATAAAACTTTGAACATATTCATTTTGCATTATCTTTTTTTGAGATATTATAGTGAGAACCGCCAGATCTTTATCTAAATTTTACATAATGCCCCTTTAAGAATACTGATAATCAATGATACGTGCGAGTCGTGTCTTGTTTACGGAAAATTACAAATTTTGGACTTTAAAATAATGCCCAATTCATGTGAGAAATATCTAAATCGTTATTTCTCTAAATACGACATGACATGAACACAGCCTATAAGTCTTGTTTTTTATACCAGTGGAAGTAACTGGCGCAAAACGGAAATGAAATGAAATGGGGTTTAACGTCCTACGGTTCTGCTCCGACTGGGCTAATGAAGACGGGCATGTGCAGTGGAGGGAATTTTGCCCGGGAAGCGACACTATGGCATAATCTTATTTCGAATTACAACTGTCAAGGGGTCTTTTACGTGCACGCCAATGTATACACGGGGCCTCGTTTTTTTTGTCTCATTCGAATGACTAGACAGCTGCGCTTGTCAGGCCCTCCGTCCTGCACTACTGACAAGGGGAAACCACATCGGAAAATCCCGATAAACTTTCTCGGCCAATGTAGGGATCGAACACGCGATATCCAGGCTAGCGAGCCAGCGTCCGTTGTTCCTCGATGCAAAACGGAAAAGATAAAATAAAAGGCTGACGTGAGAGTTTTCAGTGAGTTTCAGTGCAAACTTTGAATGTCACCAGCGTTAAAATGTATGGCAATTTTGTTATTCAGATTGGTCACCGAAAGCTATTTAGGCGTGAGTCCTAATCTTTAAAAACTAAAACTAAACATCACTTTGATTTAAGCGAGAACATGGTACAAGCATACTGACATTCATGATCGCACGGCCGTGTTTTCTATTATCATTATGTCAGCCAAACAGTTAAACCATTCAAAAGTCACGACTTTAAACAAATTTACACAGTGAGACGGCGGAAGACATTGCTCACTTTTTTTCCGCTTTTCGTCTAAATCATATAAAGGTGAACAATGCTAAAATCTATCAGTTATTACGTTCAGGAATTTTGAGTAAAAATGAATACCTTAATGTTCCTCGCTGTCATTGTAGTTCTTTTTATTTCCCATCGTGTAAATGCCTATGGATCATTAAGGAATCAGATTCCTAATGGTTTTTCTGTGAAAAACCCATGTAGTATGTTTGGTCAAACTTGGACTGGAGTTGGACATAGGACAGCTAATGGCGGTGGAGCACTAAATTCGTTTGGTGAGGTACGTTATTCAAATCAGATTTCAAGGTTAATTTATTCTTCGGTTTATTTTAGAATTTCTTACGACGGATGTCCATTTTGGCAAATAAATATATTTCGTACCCAAATTGCTACAGAGTGTAATTAAGATTTATTCTTCGGTTTATTTTAAAATTTCTCACGACGGAAGCCCATTTTGGCAAAAAAATATATGTAGTGCACAAATTGCCACAGTGTAATTATATGTTATTAGCCCAATATTTATTCTCTGTGAAGTTTGTGTGCATAATCTGTGTGTTACACTTAAGAATAATAACTATTATATTTTTTTTTAAATCACGAACTTTCGAGGAACGCCTTGGATCATTGATGCTTATTCAAATACACAATGGTATACGTCAAAGAACCCCAACTAAATAAATGTATGCATAACCTGAATTTTGGATAATTAGTTTTCTGTAGCCTACTTGTAATGAATAATAAACTAGACGATAAAATGAAATCTTGTGAAGGCCAATTTTTCTCATGTTTTAATTAATGTTAATACGTAACTATACGCACTGTCGCAGATATATGAAAGCAAATGAAATGGGGTTTAACGTCCTACTCTTCTGCTCTGACTGGGCTCTGAGGGAAATTTTTCCCGGACAGCGGCGCTAAGGCCTACTCTTATATCGAGGGATCTTTTACGTGCACGCCAATGTGTACACGGGACTCGGTTTTTCGTCCCACCCGAACGACTAGACTGCTGTCCTTGTCAGTCCCTCCGTCCTGCACCACTGACAAGGGGAAACCACGTCGGAAAATCCCGATGAACTTTCTGGACCAACGCCAGGCTAGCGAGCTAGTGTCTTGCTACCGTGTCTCCGATATTAGTTTGAATGAAGCTGTCGGGCGTCATTTGAATAATTTTGAAATAGGGTTTTATGCCCTACTTTTCTGCACCAACTGGGCTAATAAAACTGGCATACGCCTTGCAGTGTGCTATGTGAGGGTAATTTTGCCGAACAGTGACGTTACGACCTACTCTTATTTCGAATTCCAACTGTCAAGGATTCTTTTACGTCCAAGTCAATGTGTACACGGGACCTCGGTTGTATACGCTCCATCCGAACGACTTAACACTGTTTTAGGACGTAAAACCCCATTTCGTTTCGTTTTCAATTTTTACCAGTACTTAATCAAACAATGGGTATAGTCAGGTTTATGCCATAAATATCTTTAAAATACAGATGTGACGTCATCCTTTGATGTTTAGGTACCATTATTTCAAATAATGGTACGGGCAATGTGCCAAGCGTACATTTTTTATACTAGTTGAAATATTGGACCCGCGTGACGTATTTCATTAAAGATGCACGTGCTGGGTAGTGTCTGTATTTTAAGTTGTTTAATGGCCTCGTGCTAAACGCACTCGTGCAATATCAATATATTACTCAATGTATCGCACTCGACCATTAAACTACACTTAGTAGATTCCCTGGCCTTTAACTGACTGCGATATCACTACTGTGGAAGCAGACGTTAAACCACCAACTACAGTTAAACTTCCCCCAGTCAATCAGTCCTAACCGACAAAGCCTCTTTCTGTGGTGTGTGGTTATAGTTGAAACAATCTGATTAAAATACAGATCTATATTTCGTTTCTTTTTTTTATACTTTCGATGGCCTACACAACATGAAGATCTGACAAGTTGTACTCAAAGGTCGTGTCAGGGGTCGTACGAGCGGATTTTGACCCTATGATGTCAGACATTGATTAATCTGGTGGTTTACCAACAGTTCCGTGCGTGGCACGCCAAGAAGTCGCCGTAACAGACCGTTTCATTGGCTTATCCCTCACTTAAACCAAAGCGCCGGTAATATAACAACTCTTCCAGATCCCAGTGTAGTAATGACTAGTAAAAGGAAATCTTGACCTATAAAAAACGAAACGAAATAGGATCTGTGTTTTAATCAGATTGTAGCTGGGAGGGGGCTTTTCATCTTCCGATCTTTTTAAACAGATAGGTAGTAATCACCTTTATAAATTTTAACCGATTTCCTTTAAAACGGATTTAAATGTAAAACATCCGCATTATTTAAAAAGGATATTATATTTTTTATTTGATACAACTGTCTAAACGAAATATATGACCAACAAGGATACGAGATTCATAGCAATGGTATAATCTGACATTAATACCTCGTTGACCATTTCAGACATTAAAGGAGCTAAATCGCTAATATTTTGGACCTAGAAATTGACACAAATGGGTCGCAGCACATATAATAATGTAATATGAATGTATATAAACTGATTTACATGCAATCGTTTCTGTTTTTACTATAATTTCTAATCAGTTATGGTCGGTGAAATACGACAGAAGTTTCAATCGAATGGCAATCTCAAGCGTCTGGTTAGTCCAGTCTATCCTGATAGTATTTATTGCGCATTCTTGCCAGGTAGGAATATCGCGTCACCGTTTGACATGACTTGTGGAATATGTCCAGCCTCGTTCTCGGAGTCCCTTGTTACAAATGGCACTGAAAGGCATGGTACACGATTCGTGTACAAATAGTAAAATGTTTATTTCGTCTTAAATATTGGATATCAGAAGCGTATCGGGACTAACATATGGTTCAATTTTATTCCAATAATTCGCTTGCGAATAGGGGTCTTTGACAGTGGGAGGAAACCGGGGGACCCGAGGAAAACCAACGAGGTTGAACAGGCGACCCTACTCCTTGTCACGTACAACCGGGGAATCGAAACCACACCAGTTGACTCAATGACAGACCTTATCATACAGCGCGCACGCGCTAACAATTCGGCCACCCAACCTCCCCATTTCACCTGGAAGGTGAACCAGTCTGCATGGTGAACAGGGTGATTGTAGATTCATTTTATAAGTCTTAGTAATTAAATAGAATTAAATAGATAAAAAAAAACCAAGAAGCTGGAAAAACATTTCTCTATATATGTATATTACAATAACCAGTCTAATGAATACATAACAACAAGCTGGAAAAACATTACTAAGACTTATAAAATAAATATAAATGTATACAACCGTTTGTTAATTTGCAATATTGATATGTACATATACTATATATGTAGAGTGGTTTTATATAAGTTTAACACTATTCCGGAAGCAATGGCCCGAGAAATCCCTCTCTGGCCATTGCTGGATTGACTTCTGATACTTGAGCTTTTGAGGGAGTGTGTCTATTTCCCGTTCAATCAAATCTCTTCTAAGTACAGCAACATGACAGCTCTTTGTTTAATCTGAGGTCTTCCCTAAAACTTTGGACAGTTATTTAATGTATTTAAAACAGAGAAAGTATCGTTCGTCTCCAAACACCATTGTTTACATTGTAGCCGGTTTTGATAGCCTCGTTTGTCACGCGATTAGTTTTTCTGCAATATTCTGCTATGCACTGGTAATTGGGCGTAATAAACTTCGCGAGGCATGACGTAACGTTATGCAAACATATTTGGAGCTCTGTTTAAACCCGAATGATATTGTTACGCAGTTAGGATTTAGTTGTTGATCGGACTATTGATCAGTCATAATTTGGAACAGTAATTTGCTTTCATTACGGCAGTGTTGAGTGGGATTACTGCGAGGAGTATGGGGTTTAACCTGTTCCCCAGCCCATTTCAGACATCCTGAATGTAATATTGTCGTGATTTGTCTACCACGTTTGATTGCCGAGTAAAACAAAATAGTCGGTGCATCTTGCTGGGATTTTATTTCGTACTTCCATTAGCAGACTATATTGTTATAAAACATTTAAACGGGCATCTAGCTCTTCGATGCATTAGTGCTGATTGTATCAATTTCTAACAACAGAATTCAACCATACGTTAATCGGAATTCTGGGTATATCAGAATCCAGGATTAGATCTTGGTGTCACGGTTTGATTCAGTACTAGGTACCGAGACAAACCGCAACACGACATGGGATCGAGAAGCAATATGTATAGCCAGAAAGGTAACATTATCCCGGAATTATTCCACACACTGGCCTAAGCATGTAATCTTTGTTTCAGAATGAAATCAATGAATTTCGATTCTATGTGAATTTCACGTTCGTTAAACTAGAAAACATCAATACATCTCCCCTGTATTGCAATCTTTGCTTTGGCTCCCAATTCAGCAAAGAATTACGTTCAAGTTACTCCTCTTTATCTTCAAAGCGTTAAATTGCCAAGCTCCATCTTATATAAAAAGTCTTGTAGAACTCTAGACTACCAGCAGAAATCTCCGTTCTCAGAAAAAAACATCTTCTAATATCTCCAGCCATTAACTTAAAACTTTCAAAACGTGCCTTTTCTTATGCTGGTCATACTACCACAGTCAATAAAACAATTACCGTCTGTGGGCCATTTTAAATCTCAACTCAAAACATTCTTATTTCAAAAACCCTGATCTGTAAATAATCAGTGAATATAAAAACCAACAGCGCCTTAATGACTAGAGAAGCCTAATCGAAACGCCGCTCAGTAATAAGCAGTAATTGTATTCCATAGAATTGTGACCTGTATACTCTAGTTCAAATACTTAATGCCATTGAAACAGCCTTAGAGACTGTTTTCTTCAGTATTAACGCGCTTTATAAATGACGATATTATTATTATTATTTTGTTTTGTAGGCCTTTGAAAGAGCTGGACTAGTATGGAGTCTCGAACTATGTTTTGAAGATTCTGATGGTGATGGTTTAACTAACGGTCAAGAATTAGGCGACCCTAACTGTCAGTGGTCAGAAGGCGAGCCAGTGCCTTCTCAAGCGCGAGGGCACCCAGGTAAACCCATCCACTCCCTGTCGTTATACATATTTAGTATGTAAAATGTATGTAATATATCTAATAAGTTATGCCTCCCTTTTTTAAATGAAAAAACCCCAAAAAACAAAAAAAACCCCAACAAATGACTAAGTTTAGTTGTAGACGCTTTCATAAAACATTAGCTTATTTTGTCAAGAATCTACACCGGTGTCGCGGGTTGACTCGGTACCCAGTTTTGCACGGGTCTTGTGCATGAAACTCAAGGAAAATGAGTTCCCTACCGCCCAGAACAGTAGGATGTTAAACCCCATTTCATTTCATTTCCGTTGATATTTAACCTTTTTTTTATATAACGGCCAACAATTAATTTATCATGTTGCGTTACTTATATTTTTATGCTGGTTATATGCAAGAGCTGAGTACAGCAAACAGTCCAACGCTTTGGTTTGGTGTTGTATATTGTGTATACATGTATTATACATGTATTTTCAATTTTACTTATCATTATTTGGGTTTGGCTTAGGCAGTGCTGTTAATTATAATATGTATCTTCTATTTTACCAATCTAATTAAAATACAGATCTATATTTCGTTTCGTTTTTTTATACTGTCGATGGCCTACACTACAGGAAGATCTGACCGGTTGTTGTGAGAGGTCGCGTCAGAGGTCATACGAGCGGCTTTTGACCTATGACGTCAGACATTTTTGATTAGCCAATCAGCATTGATGTTTCTAGTGGATTACCCACAGTTCGGTGCACCACACGCCAAAAGCTCGCTGTAACAGACCGTTTCATTGGCCAAACGCTCACATCATCCAGAACACGTCAATGACAACAACTCTTCCAGATCTTAGTGTAGTAAAGACAAGTAAAACGAAATTTTGAACTATAAAAAACGAAACGAAATAGGGTCTGTGTTTTAATCAGATTGTCAGTTTACTTGCTAAAATATCACTACAAGGTCGGATTGTTTTTGTAACTAAAATATATAAGATATCGAGCCGAAACGCGACACACGACACCACTCCAGTTAATGCCGCTAGTCAGTTGAAACAATGCAGGCTACTTTGAATTATAAAATCAAATCTCATTTAATATATATTAATCTATATGCCGGTACTTGTTAAGAAGCTGGAGATAAATCGAAGGAATCACACGATAAAGGAAAAAAAAAAAAAGCGCCAGCTGTTGGTAAGCAAAGTTTATCCAAATCAATCTAAAACATTCATGAAATCCTTATACGGCATTTAGTAACTGAACATATGATATAAAACACAAATTTATATGAAAAACAATCACTGAGTTTATTTCACACTACGTTTCAACAAGTTCCTCTTGTCGTTGTCATTACTTACTTGAGAACGACAAGAGGAACTTGTTGAAACGTAGTGTGAAATAAAATCAGTGATGGTTTCCCATATAAATTTGTGTTTTATATCATAAAACATTAATGTGATTAATTTCCACATACATTTGGGTTATATACAGTAAACTTCGCGGAGCAATTATTTTGTTTAGATGGCAAACGAAAATGACCATATAAAAATGACCATATAAAAATTTCTTCAACTAAACCCGGGAGGCGAGCAGCTTTTTGATGTTGTTCATTTTTTAACTTGGAAAATCACGTTGAACTTTCTCGGCCAACACCGGGATCCAACACGGGACCTCCAGGTTAGCGAACCAACATCTTATCTGACGGGGGGAGGGGGGGCGGCGAATGGTTAGCATGTGCGCGCTGTATCATAAGGTCTGTCATTGAGTCAACTGGCTGGGTTTCGATTCCCCGGTTGTACGTGACAAGGAGTAGGTTCGCCTGTCCAACCTCGTGGGTTTTTTCCGGGTCCTCCGGTTTCCTCCCACTGCTAAAGACCCCTACGCGCAAGCGAATTATTGAAATAAAATTAAACCATGTGTTAGTCCCGAAATGACCTAGTTGTGTCGACTGGACGTTAATCCCCATTTCTCTCTCTCTCTTATCTGACCGAGTCGCTGCGGCTTAGACATCATACATTAGACAGTTTACATGCCTGAGCCTTACCCCGTTAGGTTCTCTCACTTTATTGGGGGTCCGGGCTCAATAATTCTTTTGAAAGACTGGCTGTATAAATGCCACTTTCTACAACACATCCTGATGTTTCTGTATATTGTGTGGTAATCTTACCAATTCATCAAAAACGACACAAAATCAACATTAAAAGTGCCCTTAAACTATGTAAGAATATAAACTTCTTTAAAGTCCCCCAAGCAACACAAAGTTACTGTACCCTTTAAACCGGTTTGTTGACTCATTGTATCGACGGTTGGTAGCCCTGCAGGCGCAGTTATGGTTGTGTATGGGTAACTTGATCACAGTTGTCACATAAAATATCTTCATTATCAAAATCGATAAAATGAACAATTTGTTGTCATCTTTCTATATTCAACATATGTTGAAGTTATCTGAAACAGTCAGATACTCACAGGGACCTGGAACAAGCAATTATCTTCTAGTGTCATTCTGGCGTATATCTGGTGGTTTGCCAAACGGATAACAAGCTTATCCGGTCATATTAGTGACCATTCACACGGCCATTGGTCGGAAAAGGGTCCGCAATTGGCAAATCTATCGAAAAGCATCGATTTTTTTTTAGCGCCTAACGAAACGAAGATGAAAGTAAAAGTTTCGCTTTTAATTTTGTTTTTAATGATATCGGATACCAGTCAGCCTACCTAGAGCGATCGATAACCTCGTGGATGATCACTTGCGTTTACAGGCCAAGACTATGCCCCGTTTAGATAACAAACCTCATCTCTCAACCCTCCGTATTTTGAGATAAGAGATGGTGCTATATAGTTCCACGTAGCAAAGTCCAACGCAAATCACATCGGGCCTCAGTAAGCAAAATTGACCATATTTTTCATCTAAACAACGATTGATTATTGTTATTTATAATATTTCTGCCACATTCAACTAAATAATCGTATTTAAAATCGAGGCGTTAAGCCGTTACTAGGAGATGTATGACGGTGTATGTCGGATAAAAACAACGCTCCACTAGAACTGCGAAGCAGTAATGACGGGTTTCACCGGTGCCTTTGAACATATGTCACTTCCGGTACCGATGAAACCATTAAACAGGTTTCCATTTAAGCATTGCACACGTCACATAAAATGTACGCAGAATCAACCAAATCGGCAATATCAATTCATTGTATACATTCATTACATGTAAGTGATCCTGACAACATTACATTACTTTCGGTGATAATGAAAATGTTAAATTAGTTTCATGAAATCAGAAATAGCGTAAGGCATCACATGGTGAAAATTTTATGTAAATCAAATAATATTTGCCACTTTTATAGACCAAAATCCATGAAAAGTGACTTGTAGAAAATCGTCTTTTTCTCTGCAACCGTATTTGGTATTTGTATGATCGTGTGGGTTCAATCTATTTGTTGATTGGAATCAAATATCATAATTTTAAAATCAATACAAATCAGACTCATTTGAATAAAATATCTGTTTCGAAGGCTAAAAATACAGTTTTTGCCACAATGACGTTACTTCCGGTAACAGTAAAAGTGTTAAATTACTTGTATGAAATCGTAAATGGCATTAGGTATCACACACGGGGAATTTTATGAAAATCGAATAATAATTGACACTTTTATGGACCAAAAACCTTGAAAAGTTACCTGTTGAAAATCGTCTATTTCTCCGCAACTGAACAAGTTAGAAACCATTTTGTGATATCTATATGATCGTTTGGGTTCATTCTATTAGTTGATTGGAATCAAATATCAAAATTTTAAACAAATAACAAATAAGACTCATTTGAATAAATTACTGGTTTTGAAGGTTATAAATACAATTTTTGCCCAAGTTACGTCATTTCCAGTGACATTGAAAATGTTAAATTGGTTTGACCTTGTTAAAATTGACATTACGCATCAAATGGTGTCACTTTTATGAAAATCGAATAATAATTGACTCTTATACAGGCAAACTAGCGTAAAAAGTGACTCATACAAAATTGCCCATTTCTCGGCAACTGTTCATATTACAAATTAATTTTCACATACATTCTCTTCGTATGGATTATTGCTACTAGTTTATGAAAGTTGCTAAGAAATATTTTAAAATATGAAAAGCCTGAATGGGTTGTGAATAGCTCATTTTTTCACCTTTTTTCACCTTTAAATCGAAATGATCCGAAAACGAAATAATAATTAAAAAAACTGAGCGCGATGATTTCTGCGCATTAACAGGGCAAACCCTTTCAGTCATACCAGATTTGAAAAAAATAATATTTGCTTTCAAAAAGTGGTACCGAAATCTCAAAATTGCAGTTTTTGCTAAATTTATGTTACTTCCGTTGCCGAAAGGAAAATGTACCGGTAACAAAAAAAATGACATATGAACTTTGTTTTATACAAATCGAACAATAAATAATTAATCCAGGACTGAAAAACTGAATTAGCCAATGGGGGCCAAGGAAAAATACGGTGTTGACATTTTTTGTCCAATCAGATGACCCTTTAACTCTTGGTAAAATACCACATAAAAATATTCATTAATAAAAAAGTTTTTCGTAAAAATTTAAATTTTCAAAATTTGGCGCCTAATATCTCAGAAGATTCGTCGAAAATAAAAAATCCAAAGAACCTTAGCTATGTGCCTTGTCTCTGGCTATGTCAAAATGTATCAAATATTACAATTTGACAATTATTGATAACATTACGGCAAAATATCGAAAAACGAAAACTTCGGTGATTTCGGACATTTCGCATTGTCGCAGAACGTTGGAAATAACAAAAACTATAATTTTGACAGTTCGGTACCACTTTTTGAAAGCAAATATTATTTTTTCAAAATTTGATATTAACAAAAGGATGCGCCATGCAAAGGCGCATAAAACATCGGTCTCAGTTTTTTTTAAATTTCGATTTCGTTTTCGGGCTATTTCGATTAAAAGGTGAAAAAAGGTGTAAAATTAAGCTATTTATAACCCATTCAGTGTCTTCATATTT